TGCTTGAAAGTGCATTAAAGTTTCAAAAGGCATTTAAAAGGTTAGGATATTGTGTTGCTGAATATGCAATGATGCAAGGTGGAATTCCAAATACTGAGGATTGGGATAATGCACAAGTGTTTATGAGATTTTTGAAAAAAATTCATGATGTCACTGAAAGTGTCTGGTTCTTTATGTGACTTCTTCTCAATATTTTCATGAGTTTTGCATGATATTGAATAACTTAAAGACATGGCATAAGAGTATGGATCTATTACTTGGGCCCATGGCTGAAAAAATGAAAGCTAAGCATGACAAATATTGGGGAAACATTAGAAATATCAACATGATGACTTTTATTGTTGTGATACTTGATCCCCGATATAAATTACGATTTATGGAATGGAGTTTTGAGAAGCTTTATGAAAGGAAGAATGCAGAATTTTTAAGTGTTCTAGTTAAGGAGACTTTAAACAAGATATTCCATAGTTATAAAGATTTTCATGGAAATAATCTTTCTTGATTGTCCACCAAAGATCAGCATGAGGTAGAAGACACTGTTTTGGCAGCATTTGATAACTCTTCGTTTGCTAGTGAATTTGAGAGGGACATAACTGTGAGTGAGAGCTTGAATAAAAATGAGGTGGACCTGTAACTCATGGAACCACTAGATAAAGGAACTCAAAAATTTGATATCTTCAATTGGTGGAAGGTGAATTCTAGCAAATATCCTACTCTTGGTCTAGTAGCTAACGATGTACTGGCTATACCAGTATTTACAGTTGCTTCAGACTCGGCATTCAGCACTGGGGGTAGAGTTCTTAACAACTACAGGAGTAGTCTTACTCCAAAGACAGTTGAAGCATTAATTTGTGCACAAAATTGGTTCCGGTCCACTCTTTTTTTCAATGATGTAGAAGAACTTATAGAAGAATTTATAAAGATGGAGATAGGTAATTAATTTTATTCTACTTGTATAACTTTTTAGTTTTATATCATCTTTTTATTTTTTTAATTGTTAAGTTACTAACAATATTTTATTATAATTATTTTAGATATTTCTCCAAATACAGAAGTTGATGATGATTCTGGTGAGGATTCTGATTAAAAATTGATGATGTAAGTTGATGAGGTTATAAGTCATTATAATCTGCCATTTATGACTTGTCTTACAAGTTAACAGTAACAGAAGCTAGATATCAGTTTCTGTAATAGAGATTGCTGAGCTACACTACACAGTACACACGAGCACATCTCTAACAATCTGCCATTTAGGACTATTTTTAATGTTCTTTTAATGGAAGGTTTTTTTATATGAGCTTCTGATATAATATTTTATTAAAATAAAAAAAAAATGAAATGTTCTGATGAAATATTGAAGTGCTTTTGTTGTGTTGGAATAGCCTCTCTGTATGCTCAAAATTAGCTTGGGATGGTACCTCACTACCTTATGGATTGCAAAGGACATTCATAGATCTTATTTTAGATTAGAGACTTTATGTGCTAGTTCTATTGGATTTTTGATTAATTGATTTTCGCTTGAGCATTATTTTTGCATTCATGACTCTGTCTTCATTGGTCATAATTTAGAAACTTCATTTTAAAGTCTCTAATTTCTTTTTGTCTTCTTTTTTTCCCAAGGGTGAGAGCATTCTAGCAGATTCTGGAACTGAACAACTAGAATTTATTGCTCATTCTCAAAGGAATGGGGACCCCAAGTATCAGACGAAGGTTTTTAATTGTCATTCTATATGTTAAATTTTGTTAAGAGTAAAAAGGGCATTTACTTTTTTGTTGGTCAAAATCAGATGTATTTATATGCAGACTTTGTCATTCCCTTTACTTGTTAAAATATTTTTAGTTGATGTCAGGTTTTGAAATTGTGCCATGGGCCTTCTTTGTACTTACATGGAGCCTGACTGGTATATTTAAGCACATAGCTAAGGCATCAGTTAACTATTTATGCTCTGTGATTTATATATTACATGTGGAGGCAATTTTTCTAGTAATTCACTTATTGGTTTGCACCCTGCTATGTCAGTGGAGAATGTAATAACGCAGCTTAATAAAGCATTTCCTGACGATGGATTACTTCCTATTTGATACGTTTCTGTCATCCTATGTTATGGTACAATCAGCTCTCTTTTTTGGTTAATAAGGGCCTTGATAAAATTGTGTTTTTGGTATAAATAATTTTTATAAATAATTTTTAGGCTTTTCAAAAAATCGAAAACCGATCACATCCAAACCGAGTAAAATTGGATTGGATCGGATCGGATTTGAAAAAAATCCAAACTGAATGGATGATTAAATGATCAAGCCGATAGGATTGGATCAGATGATTTTTTGCTTCAAAACGGATTCAATCTAGACCGCGAACACCCTTACTTAGGGATGTTCATCAACCGATCCAAACCAATTAAAATCGCGGTGACCGAACCGAAAAACCGATAACCGAATAAACCGAAAACCGAAAAATTAAAAACCGAAAAAAAATCGCAAATTTTAATTGGATTGGATCGATTTTCGGATTGGTTGATGAAAACCGATCCAATATATTAATTTCCCTTTACCTACTTGGGCCTTTCCCCAATCATAGCCCAAAAATTTATAAACTCAAGACCCATTAGCCCATTAACTAAACCTAATAAAAAATCTAGTCACATCTCATTAACAAAATTTTATCTGTGTAAAGCTTCGTATCTTATTGTCCCCGAAAAAAAAAATTATATTATCGTTTAATGATGCTTTTGCATTTCAAAAAATAATAATTTACAAAGCCAATATATACAAAAGATGTTATTTGCACAATAATTATGAAACAAATTTAAGGATTTTGAAAAACCGAAAACCAATTCAATGCAAAAAAAAAAAAAAAGTTGGATTGGATTGGATCGGATTTGAAAAAAAGTCCAAACCGAATGGATGATTATATGTTCAAATCGAAGGGATTGGATCAGATGATTTTTGCTTCCAAAATTGATCCAATCCAGACCGCGAATACTCCTACCCCTACTCAGAAGGGTGGTCTCATGTGAATTTGATCTTACTTGAATGCTCCATTGTTCAGTCAAATTCAGTAGTAATGACGTTTACAAAAGGCAATCTAACAATCAAGTTAACAAGTGAACAATATAAGTTGAACTGGAAGTATATAAAATAGAATCAAAACATACGATATTTTTTTTATGGGATATGTTATTCTGTCTACCCTTATTTTGCCTACCTTTGCCTACCCCTTTTAATACCGTTTGATTACAAGCCCATCCTACGGTCGATATTTGTGATATATATAAAAAAAAAAAAAAAAATCCTTTCTTTCTCCTCACTTCCTCCCACACCCTTTCTCTCTCGTGTTTTCTGTTCCTCTTCCCACTAATCCTCTTTACCTTTCAAAACTTCCGCTACCAATTTCACGAAATTGCACTATCTATTTTAAATTTATTCAAAATACTTTGTACGCACATGTACTTCGCCTCGAAGCCCTAAACAAATTTTCACTTGATTTTTGTGAAATGCGAACTCTTAATGTAGGAAATCAAAAAGTTTGTTGCTCAGTTTCATTAACTTGGAAAGCAATAGAAACTCATTTTTAAGCATCGTAATAGACTAATAGGTATTCACTGTGAATCGTGTTCACATCTATTGCTGGTATCAAAAAAATAAATTAAAATAGATATAGAGAGATTAGAAGGATGTGGATAGATAATTTAAAATAGGTATAAGTATTTGTGGCAGAGAAAGAGAGAAGGGATGTGGGAGGAAGTGAGAAGAAAGAATGAGAAAAAAAAGATTTTTTTATATCCCAAATATCGACCGTTGGATAGATTATAACCGAACAGTATTAAAAAAGATAGGCAAAAGTAGACAAAATAAGAATAAACAGAATAACCTATCTTTTTTTTTATGGGTTTTATTAGTGTTATGTAACATAATGTAAGTGTTGTTTCCAACTCTCACATCAAAAGGGAGAGAGAAAGTGGAATGGTGAAAGAGAAAGAAAAACATGTGGACCCCACTTCTTTAATGTGTGTGTAGGAAAGTGAAGTTATATTATGTTAAATGATAAACATAAAACCCTTTTTTTATGGGTTTTCATTTTATTCTTTAACATAACACAACAAACTTTCCTACACTCACAACATTTTGTGGGGCCTACACTTTTTAAAACAAAAAAATAAATAAAAAATTAAGGCACACAAAACGAATCTCTATAACATTACACAATCACTTTTCTTACAATATAACTCGTATAAAACCCTTTTTTTATACCCTTGTTTATATGTGTTCAAAATGACTCTTTGTCGGAGGGATTCTGTTATTTCACCTTTTACCTTATGCCACTAGATTGGTTCATCGGTTTGGGTAGACCCATTCAGATTCAGGCGGAGTATATTGATTTATTCGGGTTTATCCTGAAGCGTCCTTAAAAACTTGCACTTGGGCCAATCAACCAAGCCCAACCTGGTCTCTAGAGTCATGGGCCTAGCCCAATTTTCCTGGTACGGTCCATGTATATTAAAATTGAAACTCAAAGTTAAAATTTCATTTCATAATTTCATATAAAGCTCAAACATTAAACTTAAAGTTTTGATTTGATTCCAATTCTCATAAATTTAGAATTGTATATCTCTGAATTTTGATCTCAATTCTAAACACGAAACAGAGTCTTAAAAAACAAATCTAAATTTTTTATGACAGCAAACGTAGTGTTCTATATTTAAGATATTCCTTTTATACGTTTAACTAAGCAGCATTAACAGGGAATTGTTACCTTGCAAATTTACAATCCAACAAAAATGCACCTTCAAGCTTAATTACAAGTAACTAAAGGAAACTCTTTCCAAATGGTTCTCTTTAAGATTAGTCCTAGACCCAGTGGTGAAACATTACAAGGACTTTAGGAGAAGTGGGTGAAGAGTCATTTTCCGTTTTGCTAAGTGCATAAACCATGGGCCACTCAAACATAACCGAATTTTAGTGAAGTGAACGCGAAGAAACGAAGCTTCCCTATTCATGTGATGTTTGTACCCCTTACTTCTCTGTCCATTCCTAGTAATAAGACCTACTTCCACTTGTAACTTTGTAACCAACTCATTTCAATACTATCCTTTTCTCTCTCTTCCCCTGTTCCTCTCTCCCACATATCCAAACTAATATAAAAAAACATCTTAGTTTCCATTCTATCCCTTCAAAACTACATATCGTTTTCTTTCTTTTTGTTTCAGAGAGGGAAAGGAACGACAATAACATCAACATGAGAAATGAAAATGGTGTGATGCATGCCAGAAAGACAGAGATAGATACAAGGGCACCTTTCCGGTCCGTCAAAGAGGCTGTCTCATTATTCGGTGAGAAAGTGCTAGCTGGAGAGGTCTATGCAACCAAGCTGAAACAGGTTATACACATATAATATATACATAACTTTCATTCATTTATTACTTAAATTATATACATGTTATTTATTAGAATATTTGTATAATATGGCTTTCATTTGTTTGGTTTTCTGGTGACCCTTACATTCCTCGATGTATAAGCCAGAGCCGTATGTACCCTTTGCACTGCATATTTGAGAACTACTGTTCATTTCTCAAATAATAAAAGTTGGTGAAACAGTCCAAAAAATCTACTTCCACTGCCTTGATCTTTTGAAGAATAGAAGCTAAAACATACATTTTGGACTTCAACTAGATGATTGAGTTGCTCATGTTCATTCATATGCAACATGCATCAATTGTATTGTACAGTCTCATATTTGAAAATCACAAGTCTTAAAAATTTCTGTTGCCGATCTGCTATATTGAGTCAGTTATTTGTTCAATAAAAATGTCATACATAGAGTCATGATACCGAAGTGTACACAGAATGCAAATGGGAAAACTATTTCTGATGTCAGACTAGTTATCTCTTATAACTCTAAAACAATATCATTTTAGGATTTGAAAAAAAAAAAAATTACAGGATATTTTGAATATTTTACTTCTCTCTTATTATATACATTTTCTTAAAATATTTTGATTTTTTCTCAAACCTTAAAATAATATCGTTTTGGTTTGCAAGATACCTTTTCATAACTTTATCTTAAAAATTCATGGGATCAAGAGCATTTTTCTAGATAATTCACAAATCAATAAAAAGCTCTAATCTTAATTTCACCCAAAAAAAAGAGGCTCTAATCTTATGCTTGCTTGCAAGAGGGTGCAAACTTCAAGCGGTTATCAAGCTGTATTGCTTGTATTTGTGTGTTTTGCTTTCTTACATGCCATGGAATAAAGGCAGCAAAAATATATATTTGATTTTACGTTATTTTTGTACGTATAATACCTCAATATTAGTTAAATATACGTTAACAATACATTTAAAAGTTACACACACAAAATAATAATTTATTAGCAAGCAATAAGTTACTAACAAACAACAAATAGACCATATAAAAAAGTAGGGTACAATTAACTTTTTGGGGTGTATCCTCTTTGGCTCCGCTTTTAAACATTTTTGGGTATCAAAGCTTCTTTTGGCTCTGCTTATTAATAACCTCCAACTGCAGTGCTGTTAGCCTCACATGATTGAAGTTTGTGACTCATTTAGTTCACTCTAGGACATTTAAATACTACAGTACATATAGATGTTAATTTTACTAATTGTATTAGTGTATACATCAACATCAACATCAACTACACCTTCATCCCAAATTAATTGGGATCGGTGATTGATGAAAGCAAATAAAAAATACAAAAATGTTGAAAAAAGATAAAAAAATACACTAATTGTATTAGTGTATAAATAATTAATAAAAAAAAATTCTAAAACTAATTGCTTGTGTATGGATATATATAGATACACAGTGGAGAAAATGAAAATGGCCTTGAGTCTTCTGAACAAGGAGCCGTTACAGCTGAACTAGAAGAAACACGACAAAACCTTCAGAAGGCTAAGGAAGAAAGCATGTCAATGGCGCATTGCTTGTCTTCTCTGCAGGAAGAGCTCGAACATACAAAACAAGAGCTCCAACAATTGAAGCAACGTGAAACCGAGAAATACCCATTGGAACCAGAGATTGAAGATGTCAAGATCATAGAAAACTTAACCAAATTTGCAACCAAGAGTTTCACATCTGAGGAAGAAATGATGGAGTTTCAAAACAAAAGGTTCGTGACTTTTGCGAATCCGCCCTCAGTAACTCATGTTACGCTACCACAGAATGTTGACAAGTTTGAAAGGCACCCTTCAATCGGGAATAAGCAGAAGAAGAAGAAACCATTGATTCCTCTTATTGGAGGTATCTTTTCTAGGAAAAAGGGAAACCAATAAGTTCCGTGAGCCAAGTTCTAATCCTAGAAAGTTATTTTCCACTTACATTACAAATAATAATTACAAATCACATTATATGAATGCAGACTATGCAATGCATTGAGTATATACAAGAGTCATGTAATAAAGCACCTTAGTTATAATTTCAACTTGGTTTTGTTTAAACATCAACCCCACATAATCAATATTTTGAGTGATTATTATGCCACTTTAAATAAAAATCAGAATAAGACTCGTGGTTTATAAATTGGTAAACTGCATATTCGCTTCATATAATCATCAATACCGTAAAGGCTGAATTATGATAAGCAAACGGTGGTAGCTCAGTTGGCGCATAGGAGTTAAGCAGGTGGGGGTGAGAACATGTGTTCGAATCTCTCCAGTACCACCTTTAGGAGGGGTTTAAAGCCTTAATCCTGGATTCGTCCCGAATCGGATTAATTGCGAAGCAATGAACCGATTGAAATATTTCTAAAAAAAAAATATAATTAATGATAGTCGCTAGACCACATATTCACAAATTACAAGGCACTTGAAAAAAAAAAAAAAAGGAAAAGGAAAAGAAAACACAAGAAACACTTGATATTATTCTCCCTCAACATTGTTCAATGGTTGAAGCATAAAAAAAAATGAAGAATAACAATGATAATAACAAAATAACCAATGATGTGATGTATGGCTTAACTAGGAAATGCTCACATATACATTCGATCAGCATATCATGCATGCGGCTAAAGAAAAATGGAATGAATGAAGCATATCGCTTTGAATGAAAGAAAGGATGAAATACTCGGAATGTATTTTCTCATGTCACATGACTTGGTGTGAGATAATTTCAATCATCCACATACTAATAAACTGTTAATTTTTTTTCTCACTCTGTAGCTCTTGTCTCTGTTTATATTTGATTATCACACGAGTTCACGTGACATGAGAGTATCCATTCCCGAGTCTCTTAGACAACATCTGATTTTCGACCATCTAAAATCCCATCTTGTGCGGACTTATTGAAGAACTCAATGCAATCTGCAATGGCCTCATTGTAATGTGAGTAAGAGGAGTAGTATGAGCTGCATGAAGTCTTCGGTGGCTCAAACCGGTCAGAGTTTTTGTGCCTTGAATCTGATGACTTACGAGAAGAAGGTGCAAAAAACACGAGGCGCATGAGGACCTTACGGAAACGGTGAAAGAGCTTCATGGCTGAGAAGTTGAACTTGATAGAGTGAATTATTCTTGTTTGAGGTTGATCTTCGGTATCACTACTAATGTCTCTTACTTGTATTACAAAGCTCTCTGCTTCTAGTCTTAGTCCTCTTTGTGGGTTGTGCATTTTCAACCTTTGACGCCCCCGGGAAGTGTAATGCTATGATGGGTGTCGTTTGGTTTCTTGAGGGTATATATAAAAAACTGTGACCATTTCAAAGGTTCAAAAGATTATATATTGATTATATTCCATTTTGGAAAGGCCAAACGAGAAAGTCCCATGTGCCCAAATCATTGGCATGGCCTTCTCCTGTCCTCTAAAATTGGTTTGTTTGCTAAGGTTTCTTGATTACCATCAATTAATATCACTTTTAATCACATTTATTGGTAGCATTAGTATGCTTAATGTCCAACGGAAGATTATTTTTCTCGTATAACCATGGGTCCAAAGTCCTAACGGTCCTACTAATTCGGTTTTGGATTTGAATCTCTCCACCCTTTTATGAATTGAAACTATCAGAAATTGAACCCTCCTAACGGATTTTACTAATCCAGTTATAAATTGAGACTATCAGAAATTGAACCCTCCTAACAAATTTTACTAATCCAGTTTTGAATTTGAATCTCTCCACGCTCTCATGAATTGGGACTCTCAGAAATCGAACTCGCTACGTCACTAGATCAAGAACTCTTTGGTCCATGGCAGATTATTGATTAGCGTTTAAATAGAACTAAAATTTGATCATCATTTCGAGTTTACTAGCTAGATAATTAAAAGTGGGACTGAATGATGACCAATTCACTTTGCTCCATATATAAAACCTTGACGGATCTCGTACTATAATCATTTGTAACCTATGTGGAACCCCATATAACATGTCCAACGTTAAAGCAAATGATTTTGCCCCAATTCTTCTTTCAAGAATTTTCGTTTTATATGCAAATTCCTTATCCTGTAGGGATTCTCTGTTCCCTGTTTAAGTTATAATAATATGGCTTAGAAGAAGAAATAATTATTTAGTAATTAAGCAGCATAAAAAACCAAAGCTTATAATGATTGCCATTTTTTTTGGAGGGGCAAGTTTTAGCGTTAAGAATGGAATTCATCAGTGGAAGTTAGTAGCCGCATTTTAACACGCAGTGTGCTCCGAACGAAACGAAATGATTTTGAAGTGTGTACGTCAAAGTAAATTTACATGTGAACATATGCTGATGGTGTTGGTTATATGAGTTAGAATGCAAGTGAGCCATTCCTTATTCCTAAGACCTCTCTTTTGGAGTCAATCTTTATGCTCCGTGTTACCTACTGTAAAGTAAAAAATAGAATTATTGCAAAAATAAAAATAAATAGAATAAATGTAATTATAACAGAGTCAGTATGATTTGGTGGGTAACTTTTTTTTTTTTTTTTTTAACTTTAATAGATTATATATTAATCCCAAGAGTTAGATCAAGTAGGAGCTTTAATTTTGTGCTCTTGGTGCATATTTCAACGAGTGGGCCGGAAGAGAGAGAAGGAGAGAGAAGAGTGAGGAGAGAGGAGAGAGAAAAATATTTTTTTTCCATCAAATGTCACATTTTTAGTGGAAGGACCATCACGGAGCATAACCACATTAAATTTTTCTTTCAAGTAATCTCAAGACAGACGAACTATTAGAAAAATAAATGTTTGAATCCGAATAATTGTCGTGACTCAGGATTGGTCTAATACCATATATGTGCAGATGCAGATGCTTTTTCTCGTTTGAATCGTGGGAATAATAAGGATATAATTTGTCTCAAAGAGATAATTAAATAGTCTAAATATTAAAAAATAGATTGAATCTGATGAGTCAATCCGCCAAAATGGGACGAGTTGAGCTGTGTATTTCAACCCATCAAGCCAAATAACTCGTCTATATACAAGGCGAGTCAGGTCAACCTGTAGATCAATTCACATGTAATTTTTTAAAAAAAAAATATTAAATATTAAATTATGTTTTAATTGGTATATGTGAATGTCTATTATGTGAAACAATCTTTTCTTTTTTAGGACCATAATATTATTATTTTATTGCGAGGTTTTATTTACTTTTGATCTGCAGAAAAAGAGATTAACACAAAAAAACAAAAAAACTTAAGCTTGTTTTTGGATTTAGATGCTAGTATCTATATAAACCAAACTACAACATATGAAATTCTAGTTATAGGATGCAATGAATGATGTGTTTATTTGCCAATATTTACATGTTTGATGTAATTATTTTTTTACACAATAATATTGAAATTATTAATTAATCTTAAGATATGATTTGTATATTTATGTTAAATGTTAGAAAAATTATTAGCATTAACTTGTTTAGATTTTTTTAATATTTTATTTTTTTGAGAGGTTGATTTGTCAATTTATCTCAACACACAATGGATTGATATTTTTAACTCACTCACTAATTGCGGATCAACCAACCTCGCTTCATTTTGATAGGTTGAAGGGGACAGATCGGTCCATTTTTTCATATCTTTAAAGTCATAAAATCCAAAAATAAATAAATGATATATTGAACTGAGGGTCAAAAAAAAGAAAAACTCTCTTATTAGTGAAAAGCTCGGAGGGGCTGTAAAACGTGACGATTGAAACGAGAATCATTCAGTATTCTGTCCGAGAATTTTATCATTAGGGCGAAGGTCTGGGGTCATCATGATTGACTTGTAAGCATTATGATATGTCCCGTTGTTAAATCTCATAGATACAAGAGGAAATGATAGTAATCTTTGTTGTATTAAACTACACAACATTGGTGCTATTATATAGCAAACCAATTGAAAAATACAAAGAGACACACTCAATGTGGGACTTCTACACTATTAACACTAACACTCTTAACACTCCCCCTCAAGCTGTAGCATATAGATCATATGCTACAAGCTTGATACATAAATAATACTCCCATTAGGAACCAAAAACAACAATGTTACATCAACGAAATGAAATGACTAAGTACAACAAATCAACTGGAATGACCATTAGTCTGAAGAGCTGATAAAGAGACAGTGCTGGAATGGACATCAGAGCATGGATGGTGTCGGAATTATCATCGGCAAAGACAACTGAGCTGATCAGGACATCAGCATCAAGATCCCTCTCAGACATTTCATTTAACAGTTGGTGAGAAGCCGTGGTTTCCCCTTGACTATGCTACAAGCTTATTACAAGAAAGACCAAGTAACATAACATCAAAATAAATCTCCTAAATGAGAAACCAAAAATCAACAATGTGCTAAAAATGGCGTCGAAATGAACATCAACATGGAAGATGCCGGAATGATCATCGGCAAAGACAATCGTGCTGGAATGACCATCAGCAACATGGACGGTGCTCCCCCTCTAGAGGAACTTCTAAACAGTGCCGGAATTATCATCGGCAAAGACAATTGTGCTGGAATGACCATCAGCAACATGGACAGTGCTCCCCCTCAAGAGGAACTTCTAAACAGTGCCGGAATTATCATCGCCAAAGACAATTTGTGCTGGAATAACCATCAGCAACATGGACAGTGCTCCCCCTCAAGAGGAACTTCTAAACAGTGCCGAAATTATCATCGGCAAAGACAATTGTGCTGGAATGACCATCAGCAACATGGACAGTGCTCCCCCTCAAGAGGAACTTCTAAACAGTGCCGGAATTATCATCGGCAAAGACAATTTGTGCTGGAATGACCATCAGCAACATGGACAGTGCTCCCCCTCAAGAGGAACTTCTAAACAGTGCCGGAATTATCATCGGCAAAGACAATTGTGCTGGAATGACCATCAGCAACATGGACAGTGCTCCCCCTCAAGAGGAACTTCTAAACAGTGTCGGAATTATCATCGGCAAAGACAATTGTGCTGGAATGATCATCAGAAACATGGACAGTGCTCCCCCTCAAGATGGATGATGAAT